GGGGGGGGGATCAATTGACAGAAGTCTGAATAGACTCCTTTTTTTTTCTCAGAACGATAATAATACAACATCTAAAGATCACCATCTATTCTTTAAGTGGCAGGAGATCATAGACTGTATTAAACATTTCAAAGTCCAGTAAGAATAGAATAGGATAGGATAGGATAGGATAGGATAGGATAGAATAGAATAGAATAGAATAGAATAGAATAGAATAGAATAGAAGAATTTTTTATTGGCCAAGTGTGATTGGACACACAAGGAATTTGTCTTTGGTGCATATGCTCTTAGTGTACATAAAGGGGAAAAATACATTCATCAAGAATCATAAGATACAACACTTAGTGATAGTCATAGGTTATTAAATAAGCAATCAAATCATATTAGGAAACAAATAAAACAATATAAATCATAGAGATACAAGCAACAAGGTTATAACCATAAGTGGGAGGAGATAGGTAATAGGAAGGATGACAAGAATAATAGTAATACAGTCTTAGTAAATAGTTTGACAGTGTTGTGGGAATTAGTTGTTTAGCAGAGTGATGGCTTTCGGGGAAAAACTATCCTTATATCTAGTTGTTCTGGTGTGCAGTGTCCTATAGCGGTCATAACTCTTTTCCCCCTTTCTTTTATAGGCTATATAGGACATTTAAGGACAGCAAGTATTTATATATGTTGATGGAAGCCTGTTTAGGTGGAGAGCTTTGGACAATTCTCAGGGACAGGTAAGAGGTGTCATAAAGTTTATTTTGATAGGAAATGACATTCACTTGGCATACCAAATGCGATCACATGAACAATCTGTATAATTTAAAAAATTCTAGAGTTTGTTTCTTTATTCCTATCACAATTAAAATAAGGCATACTGTATATCATAAAATTTAAATATAAAATACAAGATTAAAATAGCATACAAATTAAACAGATCTTGTGCAGATAGCAACATTAATTATGTTCTATTGTGTGCCATGTGGTCCTCAAGTATGAACTGATCAAGTGTGAATACACAAAGGACAGAGGTGTGTTGTGTGTGTGTGTGTGTGTGTGTGTGTGTGTGTGTGTGT